TTTTAAGCTCTTATAACAAGTATTAGAACAGCTCTTAGAAATCTCTTTCAAAAAAGAAAATAGGGTCAATTTAAATGTAAAAATAGAATAAAAATGCTATTGTCACTTTAAACGTACTAATCAACTGCAATTAAAATGTTATGATTTTTATGTAAACTCACAGGATTCTTTTTTCCCCCGCCATGTATATGTGTACATTCGAATTAAACTGTGATGTTTCTCATACATAATGTGTGGGTATATGCATATTGCATAATGATTATCTTTTGAGAGCTGAATGCAACAAAATTTATTTTTAATGTATGTTGATTAGTACGTTTAAAGTGACAATAGCATTTTTATTCTATTTTTACATTTAAATTGACCCTATTTTCTTTTTTGAAAGAGATTTCTAAGAGCTGTTCTAATACTTGTTATAAGAGCTTAAAAGGCAACCATTCTTGAAGCTATTTTAAAAGCCGTTCTTCCTAGCATAATAATGTTTGGACCACATCTTTAAAAATAAGGCTCTAGATAACTGTGTTGCGCACCATCATATGCCTGTGTCTGTTTCTGATTGTTCAAACACACTTTGACATTTCCCTGTCCTTGTTCCATGGCAGGTAGATAAATCATGTATTCAGCATCGTGAATAACTCACACTAACAATGAACTAAAATAGCTTCGTCTTTTGATAGAGTATCTTCTGTAACCTTTGCTGTACCTGTGACTGATCCATGAGTTTGTTTGTTTTTTCCCCAGTTAATACAGCACTTGCCTTATCTTTGTATGTGCCTTCAACACCCCAGCACTGCAGTGAGGCACATGGCTGCCCGTTGTGTGGGTGTAATGAGCAAAATAGCTACCGTGGAAACCATTCATATTTTTCTAGAAAAGGTTCTTCCTTGGCTGGGAGCGATAGATGATAGTACCAAGCAAGAAGGCGCAATTGAAGCTCTCGGCGGTATCCTTGCTAAATTCTTTTTGTGGTCTGCCTCTGTGGGAAATGTCCTCTGAAGGCTAGCTTTGTCTAAATAAAACCTAATTCTGAAATTGGCTGCTTGAAAGCAATAACCTTCCAAGGTGGATAAAAGAAAGGAATGTTCTCCTTTTATCTTGATTAAATAGATAAACTGCAGGGCTCAGCAGGGAGGTGCCTCTCCTTGGTCAACTGGAACCCAGAGGGGCAAAAGTTTGTGGGGTGGGGAGGGAAATGATAGAATCGTTTCTTTNAGACTTCCAGTGTTGGGGCATTCACAACTTCTGGAGGCAACTTCTGTTCCATTGATTAATTGTTCTAACTGTCAGGAAATTTCTCCTCAGTTCTAAGTTGCTTCTCTCCTCCTCCTCCTCCTCCATCTTGCTAAGCTGGGAGTTGTGGCATAAGTTGAGATTATTTTGCTATCTGAGCCAAAACCTGAAAAATCACATTGTTCCTTAGCACAATCTGTGAATCTAGGATAAGATTACAATATCACAGACGTTCGGCAAGTTTGGTTAAGTAATTTGTCCTTTCAACATATTATTGGTTCATCATCATAACACTTTCATATAATGTATGTCTTCAGCATTTAGAAGTGTCACTTTAAAATATGCTTCATGTTCCTCAAACATTCACTGGGTTCTTCTGGAATATTATTGGCTTTTGTGAACCACCATTCACTATAGGATTTGAATTTGAAACTGCTTACTTTTACTCAGACTCCCAGAAAAATAATCATTATTTTCCAGATCCATCATCCTGTGAAATGAAAGCCTTTACATGTTGAGGCCTTTTCTAATCCCTGTGACTTCATTATTAACTCCTCTCTGATAGAAGCAGCAAAGATGGTGACAAAAAAGTGGGAGAAGTAAAGCCAAAGAGAGAAAAAAATAATAATACATTACTGTACTTATTTGTACCTCCCACATTTTACCCAGAAATACGCCTTAGTTTATTTAATCTCTCTATCACATCCCATCGTAAAGGATTAGATTGAGCTATAATAATTCATCCAGTGACTTTAACAAGCAGAAACTTGAATTTGTGTGTCTCTTTTGTTGCAGCAGTCTTAATTATTGTTCCATACTAATTTGCTAAGTTTCATAAGTGTTTCCTAATTCTATGTCTGTCTCAGAATAATTCAGATTGATCTTTCTCTCTCTCTCTCTTCATTCATTCATTCATCTGTTCATCTCACAAAACAAGTGACTCTGTGCCATGTACATTTCCCTTGTTATCCTGCCAGCGTGTTGCTCTGAATTTCAAACCAAATATTCTAGTGATCATAATCCCTTAGAATTTCAAGTTTGGGTTGTTGTTTTTAAAGAATTAATATTAGGGATTGATTTTTCTCTCTTAATTTCCTTTTCCATTACAATTTGGGAGAAGGGAGCACGTTTGTGACCATCCCTGCTGCTTCCATCAGAATTTTTTTAATTGCCACCTTTTTATAGGGTCTAATTCTGAAAGAGATGGGATGCATCATACAGTCACCAAGCACCGAGGTATAATTACGCTATATAGGCACCAAAAAGCTGCATTTGCCATCACAAGCCGACGGGGTCCAACACCGAAAGCCACCAAAGCCCAAATCGGAGATTTGCCTGCAAGCACGAGTGGAAATGTAACAACAGAGCTCGATGAAGTGGGTACAAAGTTTAATTTTCAGTTTTGCAAACATTACACGGTTCGCTGGCTGGGGAATTCTGGGAGTTGAAGTCCGGACATCTTCAAGTTGCCAAGGTTGAGAAACACTGTCCTATTTTCTTTCCTTGGTCATAACATTCTTCCCTCCCACTCCCTCTTTTCTTTCTTTCTTTTAATGGAAACGAGGGAAGCTTTTGTCCATGCTTAGACTGACCTCCTTCTGGCCTTCTTTTCACACTTTCATTGCTTCTGAGAAAACGAGACACGTTGATTTCTTAGACTTGTAGGATCAATTTTACAAAAGAACAAGAAAGGCAAGAATGGAAGGAAAGAACAAGGTTGCTAGCCAATATTGTTGTGTTTCTTTTTTTAATCCTGCTAGCCCCTTCACAAAGAATCATCTGTATGTGTTATTCCCAGCTTGACAACTTGAAATCTTGGAAATTAAATGTACCTTTTTTTAAATAAAAAAAGCATTGTGATTTGAAGCAATTATAGTTCTTTTACTGATCCCTTTTCTCATCATTGTTGAATTTCCATTATAAAAACATCCCTACATTTCGCTGAATTTTACATTGAGTTTGAAACATTTCGATTAATTTTAAATTACTCGTGTGTGAGTTAAAAACAATGGGAAACAAAATTTTAGCCGTCATCCTGATATTGATTATACCATATTAATCTACTAAGATATGTTATGCAGTAGAGGTCAGTTTTAAAGTTGAGAGAATTGATCACTGACTTTTATGCTCCCCCCATGTTGGTCCTTTTTTTGGATCAATATTTGATATTTTGTAGTTTAGGTTTAGGTTTATTCGATTTATATGCCGCCCTTCTCCCAAGGACTCAGGNGAGCAGCCACCGAGAAGGCTCTCCTCCGAGATGAGACTAAGAATGGTTTGAATTGAGATACCTCCTGGCCCCCTTATCACTTTCCTCTGAAATTAACTGCAATTATACTATATTTTCTAAATTATATAACATACAGTATTTTCATTACTACATTTCAGTACTATATTTTCATTAGGTGACATAGATTTTACTCAAATGCATATCCAAGTTAAAAATCTTAGCATTTGTTAAATTTTAAGCTTCAAAGAGGAAGGAAAATAGGTTTGTTCTTTAGCCGTGAGATTAAACAGTTAAAAAAAATCAAGCATCACAGCTTTTATTTGGAGTCTGAAGCATTTGCAATTATTAAGAAGGAAATAATAAATGCCTCAAATGGGCAAATGAAGCTTCACCTCTCTTTATACTGTGAAAATGGAAAGAAAATCCATATTTGTCTTTTGTCTGATAATGTTCTTGTGCCTGCATTTCTTTCTCTGTTGTGCGCATCAGGACAGCATATAAGTGCCTTTTAGCCGGCAATTGCAGTTGAATAACAAGTGCTGTTTTATAATTTCAGAGCATTAGAACAGAGGTGGGAATTGGAGACGGCTAATGTTACAAGCCTATTGCTCTTACAGATCTGCATGCGTACGCTTGGGTTTGAAATTATCCTCTCCAAAATTAGAGGCAACGAAAATGTTTATATTATATTTAATTTAGGACCCTGTGCTATATTCCTGCATAGGTTTCATCTGCGATTAAAATACGCATTTCAAATATTACTGTCCCAAATATAAAAAGAAAAGCTGTGCATAAAATATATAAAAATGTAGATTCTGTCTTAATAGCAGATGTGTTGTTTCCGCAGGAAAAGTCAGGAGGGAAGCTGCGTCCAAGTCAACCCCAGACCAAAGAAGTGGTCCAAGAATATATAGCCGGTGCCGAAAGCGTCACTGAAGATCCAGCAACCAGAGATTTTGTTGTTATGAGAGCTCGAATGATGGCCGCAAAGTCAGTTTATTCTTGAAAACCTTTTATGTTAAACAAGACAGAGCTTATAGTAAAGATACGTGATTCGAATTAAACGCTGTAACCCAACTAACAGAAATATGTCATTCCAGGTTGCTTGGGGGCCTCTGCTGCTGCATTTGCGATCCCAGCGTGAATGCTGCTTCCCAAGAAATCAAGCCAGCAGAATCACTTGCCCAACTCTTGCTTTTCCACCTGAATTCCAAGTCGGCTTTGCAGAGGTTTAGCGTTGCATTAGTAATCTGTGAGTGGGCTGCCTTGCAGAAGGTAGGAGAACCAGTACAACGGTTAAAAACGCATACCGTATTTTTCAGACTATAAAACGCACCGCAGTATAAGACGCAGCATGATTTTGAAGAGGTAAATTTTTTTAAAAAAGTTTTTTGCACTCTGCGGGCCTCCCAAAACCTCTGCACGCCTCATTTTTTTGAAAAAAAAAAGGGGGGGGGCAGAGCTTTGGGAGGCTTGTAGAGTGCTGGGGGATTGGGGGGGGGGTAAAAACAAGCAAAAAAATGGCCCTTTTTTGTA